CCTCCCCAAAGCTTCGTTCCACGGTCTGCATCCGTTTCTCCAGCCCCTGAAGCCCCTCCAGCGCCGAGAACTCCTGGGCACAGCTGAGGCGTAACCCAGCCATGGCATCCTCCAAGCCGTGCTGAGCTGAGGCAATGCGCTCCAAGGCATTGCTGTGCTCCCTGAGGGTCAGGTGGATCTCAGTCAATCTCGATTCCTGGAGAGCTCATCAAAATTCAGCCAGCCCAAGGGTGAACCCCCTCCCAAAAAATGGTTATATAATAAGCCCCTATTGGTGGTTGGTGCTCATCGAAATTCAGCCACCGCAAAGTGTGAAAAGGTGAACCCCCCAAGAATAGTCGGTTCTTGAGCCCTCATTGATGGTTGTTTGGTTGTTTGGTGATCAATTACTGTGGGGCGGGGAACACCTTTCTGGGGAGCAGTTGGATTCCCATGATGAGGCTGAGTAGGTTGGTGGTTGACCCTGGGTGCAGGTCAAAAATTAGGAGCCTGTAATGAGCAGATTGGGCGGTCATTTATCGTACTAAACCAAACAACTTACCCTGCTGAAAACAAAAATGTGGTTGCGTTGAACCATCAACGGATTTCCATGAAAACTGTTCGTGCAATAAATGCGTGCCCAAACAGCTTGCTCTCCAGCAAACGACCCTGGCAATCCTGGCAAAAAGATGGAACAATGAGATCGAACACTGAGATGATGATGATGATGATGATGATTCTGCTTTGAAGAGGGACATTTGGATGTGTCCCAAAATTTGCGGGGGCGCATTTCACCATGGTTTTCCTACCAAAACTGACCAAAAACTGCCAAGCCACCACTGCTGCAGTCAGCTGCTCCGCTGCCAGTGGCTCAGCTTGCAGGATGCCTTCGGCCACCTCTAGGGCCAGGGGGTTGCAACTGGCGTGGTGAGGTGCTTCGAGATGGAAAAAATAACACCCCAGATGTAGAAAAATGTCTTGGAAGATGGCTTTCCACTTGTACTTTTGGACATTTAAGCTTCCAGACCCACAAACTTCCTATTCAAAGCCACCATATCCTCATTCTTAGAGCTAAAATTCCTGGGTAACAATGTTGAATGGTTTTTTGACCTGTTTCTTGACCCTTGACCCATTTTGACATTCCATATATGCATTTATATAATTATAATCTGATGTATGTATGTATGGATGGATGGATGTATGTATGCATGGATGTATGTATGTCTGTCTGTCTGTCTGCCTGCCTGCCTGGCTGGCTGTCTGTCTGTCTGTCTGCCTTGTCTGCCTTGTCTGCCTTGTCTGCCTTGTCTGCCTTGTCTGCCTTCTCTGCCTTGTCTGCCTTGTCTGTCTTGTCTGCCTTGTCTGTCTTGTCTGCCTTGTCTGTCTTGTCTGTCTTGTCTGTTTTGTCTGTCTTGTCTGTCTTGTCTGCCTTGTCCTGTCTGTATGTAATGTATGTCATGTGTATGTCATGTGTATGTCATGTGTATGTCATGTGTATGTCATGTGTATGTCATGTGTATGTCATGTGTATGTCATGTGTATGTCATGTGTATGTCATGTGTATGTCATGTGTATGTCATGTGTATGTAATGTATGTAATGTATGTAATGTATGTAATGTATGTAATGTATGTAAATATGTAATGTAATGTATGTAATGTATCTAATTTATGTAGCGTATGTAGTGTATGTAGTGTATGTAATGTATGTAATGTATGTATTGTAATGTATTGTAATGTATTGTAAAATATTGGGTTGTATTGGATTGTAAAGTATGTAATTATGCATGTATGCATGTATGCATGTATGCATGTATGCATGTATGCATGTATGCATGTATGCATGTATGCATGGATGCATGTATGCATGGATGCATGGATGCATGGATGCATGGATGCATGGATGCATGGATGCATGGATGCATGGATGCATGGATGGGTGGATGGGTGGATGGGTGGATGGGTGGATGGGTGGATGGGTGGATGTGTGGATGTGTGGATGTGTGTATGTATATGTGTGTATGTCTGTATGTCTGTATGTGTGTATGTCTGTATGTGTGTATGTGTGTATGTGTGTATGTATGTATGTATGTATGTATGTATGTATGTATGTCCGTATGTATGTCCGTATGTATGTCCGTATGTATGTCCGTATGTATGGCCGTATGTATGTCGGTATGTATGTCCGTATGTATGTCCGTATGTATGTCTGTGTGTATATGTACAATGTATGTATGTATGTATGTACGTACGTACGTACGTATGTATGTATGTATGTATACGTACGTACATGTATGTATGTATGTATACGTACTCACATGTATGTATGTATGTATGTATGTATGTATGTATGTATGTATGTATGTATGTATGTATGTATGTATGTATGTATGTATGTATGTATGTATGCGTGTATGCGTGTATGCGTGTATGCGTGTATGCGTGTATGTGTGTATGTATATGCATATGTATATATCATATAGATGTATATATCATATAGATGTATATATCAAATATCATATAGATATATCATATATAAATATCATATATGCATATATATATATATCATATTTATCATATATATATATATATATGTTGTCCTTTCCTGGCTGTTCCACCCCATTCCACCAGCCCGCCTTCACATCGCTCCCCATCTCCACGTGCTGCACGCGCGCCTCGAAGCGCTGCGCCAAGCCCTGCACCGTGGCCTCCAACTTCGCCAGGCCCTGCTCAGCCGCCTGGATGCTCCAGGTGGCTCCTAGGACGGCAAGGGGGTGAAGTAACCATGAAATACTGGCCATGGACCATGGCATGAACTACCATTCATGGTTATTACTTAATAATGGTTGATGATATTTAGTAACCATTAAATATCATCAACCATTATTAAGTATACTTGACTACCACTATTAATCCCTTCCTGCGTTCATATTAAACACCCCGTGGCCACAAAACCATGGTGGATGTAGTGAATTTCCACATTCCGTTGGGACCATGCAATTGGGGTGTCTAATATTGGGGTGATGGGATTAAGTGAAAAATGACATATGGTGATTTTCATAGTTATGTAAACGTTTACCAGTGGTTAATGTGGGTAAAACAATGCCATAAACTATAAACATGGTGATTTGGTGGATGGTTTATTATTGTTTTACCCACATTAATTCATTGTAGATTTCTAATCAAAAGATGAGCACGAGAATGGGTTGTAGTTGAGAACAATAATTCTAGATTCATAATTGATTAGATTAGATAATGGAATAGTAATTGCAGTTAATAATGGATTGTGCTTTATAATCTTATAACTTATAATCTTATTACCAACAATAACGGATTGTAGTTGGTTCATGTTGGTTTAATTAATAATCAAGCAGAAAACTGGAATTAATAGCAATTACTGTAATAATCAATCAGAAAACTGGAATAGTAATTTATCGCGAATCCGAAAATAGGAATAGAAATCGATAATAAATCAGAAAAGTGGAATAGTAATCAATAATAATAAATCGGAAAATAGGAATAGTAATCAACAATAAATCAGAAAATAGGAATAGTAATTAACAATATATAAATCATAAAATTGGATAATGACCACTCGACCAGCGAACCCGGGACATGGTGTACCGTTTTTACAACCTCCAAATGTTGAACCCTTGGTTTGCCTCTTGGTTTGGCTTGGTGGATCCCAAACTTACCATCTGGTTTTGACTAACATAGCCATGGAAAATCCTTTTAAATGGAAGTTTTCATGGGAAAATCATCTATAAATGGGCCATTTTCCATGGCTATGTTAAATAACCAGAGGGTAACCAATCCATCAACCCCTCCCTTCCCATCTCCTTGAGTTTGCAGCACCCGTTGCATCTCCCTCTCTTGCAGCAGCCGGCTTTCCAGCTCGCGCTGGAGGAAGTTGGGCCAACTTTGGCTGCTCAGCTCCAGATGTTCCACGCGCGTGGCCAGCTGCAACAGCTTCAGGTGGTCCTGCTGGGATTCGCACTGCAGCCGCTCTAGGACTTCCACCTTTCACGGGGCGGTTCGGGGAGGTGGATGGGGTTGCCTTGAGGGTGGTGAGATCTATGAAAGTCTATCTGAGGCCGTATGAGTCCCCATAGTTCTTGATGTTTTTGGAAGGTTGGGGAGGATCTTATGGCTGCTGCGTCTGGTTACATCTGTGGAAACCAATATCAGCGAGTCCAAAACCATTTGGAATGCCACACTTCTTGCAACGCCGTTTCCGTGCCAGATCCAAGTTCCCAAGTTTGCCAACTTCTCAGCCCAATTTCGCGGTACTTACATCCCAACAAAAATCAAAGAAACCCAAATTTCTGGGGAAACCATCTGCGGCCACATCCCCCACCTGCTGTTGCTGTTGACCCTGCAGCGCCCGCAGGCCACGCCACACATCGGCCGTCTCGCCCAGAGCGCCCCGCGCGCCCGGCGCGCCCCGCGTGCCGGCTGTGCTGGGCGTGGCCCGGCCGGGCGTGGCGGGGGCCGGCAAGGACACCAGCTGCAGGGAGTGAGGCGGCAGGACCTGGCCAGTAGGGGGCAGTTGAAAATGGATGATTAAAATGATGGAAATATGCAAAAAAAAAATCAAAAGCTATAAAAGCATTGCATTAAAATAGCTCTGCGCAATGGAAAAATATGAGTTGCCACCTCACTGATTGGGTAAGTTGGATGATGTTTTCTTGGAAATATAGATTGCAGTGAGATCATGTGAGATAGGGATTGTTTTCCATGCTATTCTATGGAAAATAAAAAGCAGTTGTCAGTCGTTTAGTTATCCGTTTGTTTTCCGGCGATACCTGCAACAACAACACAAATAACGTGCTAAGACAATGCAAAACAATGTGAAACCAATTGCAAGATGTCCATGTCCAAACTATATTCATCCCATATTATATCCCATTGTATTCCCAATACAGTATATTCATGGTGCATCATGGTTTTTCTTATTTATATATATAGCCACGGGCCCAGGACTTTCCAGTTAGTGTGGCTGAGTCGGCAGATCCCTGGGAGTAGTTTCATCCGGTTAGTTTGCCATGGAGTTTGGTCGTTCTAGGTGCTCGAAGCGCCTGGCACCCTGTTCCTGATGTTCTCTTGGGCGAAGACCGTGCATGCTTGAGTCTGCCATGCTCCATCGCAATGAAGGTGCTTCACACGTTTGGCAACTGGACTTGTTTGTGCAAATTATTGTGTCCATGCCCGGAGTTGGCGATTGACATCTTTGTGGACGTGCAGCGGTTGAGCAGACTACGTCAACGCTATACCATGATGGTACCTCAAGTGTTTGATGGCTGGCTGTGCTTGTGCAAATTACTGTGTCCATGCCCGGAGCTGGCGATTGACATCTTTGTGGGCGTGCAGCGGTTGAGCAGACTAAGTCAACGCTATACCATGATGGTACCTCAAGTGTTTGATGGCTGGCTGTGCTTGTGCAAATTACTGTGTCCATGCCCGGAGCTGGCGATTGACATCTTTGTGGGCGTGCAGCGGTTGAGCAGACTAAGTCAACGCTATACCATGATGGTACTTCAAGTGTTTGGTAGCTGGCCGTGCTTGTGAAAACTGTGTCGTCAATGCCTAGAGCTGGCTTTTCACATGCTTGGTGCTGAGCCGTGCAAACTGCTTATGTCGGTTCTTCAAATGCTTGGAAGCCAACGGCCTCAGTCTGTTGCCACTGCCTGGCCTTTGAGACAGAATTAGCGGCCTGAGACAAGTGGCTTGAGTCGGCCCTGCAAGCAGTGCTGATCCTTCACACTGCAGGTGCCAATTTCGTGAGGCGCCTGGGTCGCGCAGACTTGTGTTTTTTACCCAGGCAACGAGAGAAGTTTGTGCAGCATCGCTTTTCTCCTTTTTCTTAGTTCATGCTCCAACCCTGTTTTGCTTCAACCAAGTTGGCATCTAGACAAATGAAGTGCTGACTCCTGGTTAGTTAATGGATTGGTGGGCATAGCTGACATATGCTTTGCCTCCCTGTTGGTCTGCAGCCTGCAGAAATACCACGGCCGCGGGTAGGTGCAAACTCACCTACCCCCTGTGATGTGTGTACAAAGCTGTCTGTTGGACCCTTTGTCTGTGTGATCAGCTCTGCTCACGCCGAGCTATCACTCTCGGGGACACGCCCGAATTGTCCGCGCTATATATATATATATACATATCAAAAAATCTGTCAATCCCATATAAACATTGATGTAAAGTATATATCTCCAAATGATATAAACAATGATATCCCAACATGTTTATGCATATAATATATATATATACCCATGCCGAAACGGTTTTTCAAGACCCCCCCCCTGTTATTCAAAAAAAAATTCTTTGGAGTGTTTTGGCTGGGTCTGGCATGTCCAGGCCTAGCCCTTTTCCTAGTATTATTTTGTCTCCTACTCTTTCTACTACTTTAGAAAAAGGTTTCACACGGAAGCCACGCGACTACCACTACTACTACTGCTATTACTATTACTTCTACTTCTACATTACTACTACTGATCTACTACTATTACTACTTCCCATAATATACATATATATAATATACTAAAAATATTACTACTACCACTGTTAATCCTATTCCTACTCTCTAGTCAGACTCTAGTCCTTTTACTTCTACTCCTACTCTTCCTACTACTTTAGAAAGAGGTTTTGCGTGAAAACCATGCGATTACTACTACTACTACTACTACTACTACTACTACTACTACTACTACTACTACTACTACTACTATAAATAATAAAATTAATGTTAATATATAATTTTGGGGTTAAGTCTCTATTACTATATATTATATATATATACTATATATAATATTTACTATATATTATATAATATAATATATATATATTATATTAAATAATATATAAAAATGAATGTATTATTATATATATATTATATTTTATATATTATACAGAAAAATTGCCAACTCTGATCAAAAAAAATGGCAGCATGCCGTTTTTCTCCACAGCTGGGCGGTCAGTTCTGCAGCGTGTTTTATCCACGTTGAAAGGCAAAGGTCCTGCCATGCTTGCAGTACTTATGCAGTTCTTCTGACTCTGGGTATTTTTGGGGTATTTTTGGGGTTAGCATCACAAGGGGTTTGCGACACTCCCCAGCCACAATCCATTGAGGTGCAGCAGGCTTTGCCTTCTACAGAGTGTGCGGTGGCCTCCAGAGTCATGACGGCGACGATCTTCTTGAGCAGGGCGTTCTTAAAACTAATTGCAGGGCAGTTAAGTGAAGCAAAAGGGAACCATTGCTTCTCTTCCTTGGACTGGTTAGCAAGGTTAGGAAGTGGTTCGCCGCTAGCTTTCGCTAGTTAGGTTGGAACCACCTCCGACCTGCACCAGACATGGATTAGAGAAACAACGGCTATCCCTCAGTTCACTTCAGTGTCTCAGTGTCTGACATCTTCGCTTAAAATGCACGACAGTGCAACATGCATGCAACATGCCAAAGGCACGTCTCCAAACCATCATGAATAATTCAAATGGCAAAAAACTGTCCTTGCTTTCGGCCTCGTGCTCTTCAGCACTAGGTTCAACAGTGCTCAATACATTTCGCATACATTTCGCATACATTTCGCATACATTTCGCCCTAAATATGCCCTATGTATGCCCTAAATATGCCCTAAATTAAAGGGAGTATAAAGGGAATATATCCAATATACTTGAGAGGGGGGGGACGAAAGGTAGGGGGGGGCAAAAGAGAGCAACAGGAAAAATATTGCCAAACTGAGATTGATACTTCTCTTCACTCAAACCTCCTGCAGAAGAAAATGTTAGCCCCCCAAAAAGCTTTGTGGGAATAGAATCAGAAACATAATGTCAAATGTAAAGTAACTTCACGCGCGCGCGCGCGCCGCGCGCGCGCGTGAACCATCCTGCATGCAGGTGCTTCTCCGCGCACGCATGTGCGGGACGTAAACATTGCGAGTCTCTATTCCCCGGCACGGCCTCAATGGGACTAGAACATCCACGATAGATCGATAGATCAATACATCGATAGATAGATAGATAGATAGATAGATAGATAAAACTATAAATAAATAAATAAATAGATGAATAAATAGATAGAGAGATAGAAGCATCGATCGATAAATAGATAGATCGATGGCTACCTTGATCGATAAACAGATAGATAAATAGATAGATCAATAGGTAGATAGATAGATAGATAGATAGATAGATAGATAGATCCAAGGATAGATAGATAAATACATACATAGATGGACAACTAGATAGATAGATATATCGATAGATAGATGGATAAGGAGGTAGGTACAGAGTCAGAGAAAAAGAGAGAGAAAAAAATGCGGACCAGGGGGGAATCGAATGGGGGGGGGAGGGGGGGGGCTGAAGAGGGGCCCTAGCGTCTACTTCAAGATCAGCTAAGGCGTCTTCCCCAATGACAGCACTCTTTTACTCTCAGCCTGTTGCCGGTCCGTGCTTGTCTACAGGGTTACTCTATATACCTCTTTCTTGAGCCTTGAGGGCGCATATAAATGTGCTCAATACTCATGCATGTACCTATGTAGGTATTAGGTCGAAACAAAAACACAGGCACAAATTCAAAAGCAGTGAGTAGAGCACTACGCCTTGCCGTACCCAATTGGTATTAAGAGTATCTTCCTGACTTCTCTACACAATGGCAAATAACAAAAGAAACCGGAGTTACGCAGTGGCTTCGAATTGAAAAACACGTGAAAGCAGCGAATGTCCTAAGGACATGTCGAAAAAGAACAGCGGATTCGCTAATTTTTCCAGTAGTGACCAATGGTGCTTCGCGCACGGTCTCTCCACAGGCAAAATGCCTCGCTCTACCGGTGAAAGTTCGAATTGAAAAGTTCGGGTTCGCAAGATTCAGAAATTCAGGTCATACGAAAACAATTGACCAAATCACGAAATAAACGGAAATAGCGGATCTCCAAAGTTGCTCATTCAAGCAAACAATGGACTGAAATCGAAGTTGGTAAATTTTTGAAGTTCGCTCCATTCGGAGTGGTCTGCTCGCCGGATGATTCATGGAGATAAATGTATATAGTATCTCTATTTACAAGAGTCTCTATTTTACATTAAATTGAAGTTCAGACACTTGTGGCATTATCTCTATCTAAAAGAGTATATGCCATCTGTGTGAAATAAGTTGAACGCACAGAAAAACTGTACACGGCTTCTCATGCTGTGTTATCTTCAATTAAAGAAGTGTACACTCACTCATCGCCCCTCACTTGATCTCCATGGTCTGGACGCTGAAGATGAGGATCCACCCCACTCTGTGTTGCCCTGATACGTCGATGCTTGATCTTCATATGCCTTTCTCTTTTTCTCCTTCTGTCTTTCCTTTCTTGAATCAGCATGCTGCTTCTTCTTGTAGGCCTGTTTGTAATGATGTCGTTCATTCCATGACATATCAGAAGGATCAAGATGGATAAGAATTGGATTATGAGCATCGCGATCATTTGGAGCAACCATGAAGATGTTGTGATCACCATGTAAGCAAGTTTCATTTACCTTGAAGTAAAATTCACCCACATAGTTCATGTGATCTTCATCCTCAAAGTCTTCTGGGTGTTCCTCACACATCAAACGTGAATGACCCCACTCAACAACTGTTAACATACAACAATCACCTTTACCAGTTGTCTTCTTCATGATCTCGTCGGTGTATGTTGCTGTTGTAATGCCATCCAAGTGCGTTGCAAGAAAATCCAAGTCACGATAACTGCAAGAAATGAAATGCTTGACCCTGATTGGAGGGCAAGTTGGATCAAAATTCTTGCGCATGGCTTGGGTTGCAACACCTACCATTCTGTTAATCCAGAATTGGATAAGGCTGTGTTGATATGTAGGGACACCTGGAGATTTTGGTGTGCTGTAATAGCATGCCTTGTTTCCATCACCTGCGATGAAGTCAACTTGATATCTGGGCACACTCAAAAGCCATAACAGCTAAGCACTCACCAACAATCCCAGCAGAGTCTGATGCATACTTCTGTCCGACGTGATAAACGCACACACGTGTCATTCTCATCCCAGCTCTTGTCAAGTCAACAATCTCATCTGTATCTCGATCCTTTGTCTTTCCCCAAGATACTTCAAAGATTGCCCATGAGACTTGTCGAACTCGTGTGTCGTTGTCATCTGTGTGATATCCAGCAATTTGCTTGATATAGCCATCCTTTCCAAGGCGAGCTGCCACCATCAAGTCATGATAGTCATTGAAGCAAGTTTTAAAGTCAACCTCGTCGAGTCTTTCTCTGTGAGGATACAACGAACCAGCCTCGCAATTCATGAAAAGATGTCCTCCAAAGTTCTTGATGACATTGATGAAGTAATTGTTGAACTGTGATTTGGTTTCATCAAATTTTTCATGATCCTCATCGATAGTGTAGTCAATGTGTGGAATGAATTGTTGAAATCTTTCTGGAACCGGGCATTTTTCAAATCTGTTTCTGCAC